GCTTCAGAGACAAACCAGCGGTTGCATCGGTACGAGAGGCTGACAGGTGAGGAAACACGATCGGTTCTGTAGGCCACGCGTGTAAAGACGCGCTGGCGCATTAACGACCCAACACGTAAGAGGGGAAAACAACAAGAGAAACAAAGATTCGGGTATATAAAGACTATAACGAGACGAGAGCTCCAGGTGAATGTTAAACACTTTGCTATAACAGAGTAGTGGGGCGCACCGCAGGTGCCCCAAATCGAGCCCAAAGAGTGGCTGAAAAACCAAACGCAGCGACCACGACGCTCCGCTCTTCCAGCTGAACCTCGTGCATCTGAAGGTTTGAGTACAAAGCTCGTGCTTCACATATTTACAGCACAACCTAGAAGCCTGTCTTTACTAAATGATACTAAACAGGTTAAATACGCTGTTGTACTGAAGGTTTATGTGGAGGCACGCGCCGCCACAGGTGGCCAAACGTATTCCGTCATAGCAGGACTTCATACTACGCAATAATAGACGACTGGAGTCTCTGCAAAAACCTTAAACATCCACAAGAGCTTTGCTTACTAAAAATCTGTGACGCTTCTAATATAAAGAGTATTAAGAAAAAAACAAACTGCTGAACATCTTCTCTTGCAAATTTCCTGTTTTCAGAAAGTAAACTGAAACAAATAAACGCTCTGCTGTGACACACTGAAGGCTTTCCTGTTATAAAGCAGCATCAGACTGGTGCTGTGACGCGGGAGGAGGACACGGTCGGAGGTTCGAACACGAGCCGCCCTCACGAGAAGCCCGGGGAGCCGGCTGCGCTGTGGTGCTGCAGGTGGGCTGTAGTGTTCGTGACGCCTGTGGCGAGGCCGGAGGCCTTGAGCGGCGTGCTGCAGCCCTGCGCCTGTGGAAAGCGCTGGTGATAGCGGTCCAAGCGTAGATACTTCACCGTCACCAGCTTACCTGTGGAACAGAAGCAGTCACTGCAGCGCTCCTCGATACGTGAGCTCACCCATCACAGCGTCATGAACATGAGCACCATGTTAATCAAAGCTGATTCATGTTTGTGGCAAACTGGACTCTGACAGACGCGTTTGAGGGTTCACCTACATCTACTTCACTGTCGGCCTCGAGCATCGTCACTCAGGAAGCTGCAGGCTGGAAAACTACCACGTGAAACACCCGAAGAACGGATTTTTGTTCTTCCAGCATCTAAATCATGTCTGTTGATATGTTTGTTAAATCGGTACTGCTGACATGAACCAGTTATTTGTGTTTCAAAGAGTCCAGATTATTGATTTAAATCTGATTATTTATTACACTGACGGATCCTCCAACAGTGGTTTTTCAGTCCGGCGCTCGAATCAGTTTTAACTTTTGGTTTTAGGCACAAAAACATTTGACTTGGATCAGATGCTGTTCATCAAATCTTACTTACATGCCGACTCTGGAGTCACACTTTTGAACTTATGCCGTGACACCAGACTGACTTTATTCATAGTGTGCTGGTGTTTGGGCCTCCATCACAAAACCATCTCACACAATAACTTCTGTTTCTGTTTTAGCCGATCTTTGCAAGTTCAGTTACTGATATCGATGTTAAAAATCCCCCAAATTAAACTCTTTTCCGTTTCATAGCCTCACCTTTAATATTCAACATATTTTAGTTTAATGGTCAAAGTCTGGAATAAGCTCCATAACACTAATGTGCAATAATCTTTTCTGGCATCGTATTTTCACTCAGTTGTATATAGCATTTGTATTCTATTTTTATCTTATTGTATATTTTATTCTATTTTATTCTACTGT